AAAAAAAGAAGTGCTAATGGTACAGGGAAGCCCTGAAGTCCAAAGGGCTGGCGTACACTCCTGAAAAATGAGTTTTCTTCCCAAAAAAAAGAAAAAGAAAGAAAAACAACGATTTCCTTTTCTTTCCTCTTTTCCCCCTCGTTGCCTTCAGCCTCGGCTCGTTTCCACATAGCACAGCACCAGGACATCTTACAGTCCATTTGCCCCGTTTCTATGGGCCCACTATGTCCTCCTCCGTTGCACTGCCGGGTCTTCCCCGAACCCCGAAAACTGCGGTGCGTTAACGGGGAAGGCCCGCGGCCATCGATACCGAGCCTGGAATGCCCCTGCGCGCCAATTTTTGCCCAAGCGCCGGGGTACCGTTTTGATTTTTTTTTGGCTGGCGCGTGTTAACGGGGAAGCGCCGCGGCCGATAGCTGGGCCAAGTACTGGTGGTTAATGTCGCTATGCCTCTGCAATTCCACTCCAGTCGGCTGACTAGTTTCCCCCATCGACCTCATTGCTTTTTGCTGCTGATGCCGTCTCTGTAGCTCTGTGCTCTGCTCCTGTGGTTCCCTTTTTGGCTGCTACGGAGGTATCAAAACACAGGCATTGGGATTAGTTGTGTGTAAAGGGGGTGTGGCATTGGGGGGTTGGGGACAGCAGAGTTGGTACAGACGAGGACTTCTCAGGGGAGGGGAAGAGAAGGTGGCAGCCATCGCTGTTCGTATGCTCGTCATCTTGTGAATCTTGATCATAGAGTGCCTTACTGGAGGGGGCAAGGAGGCCATCCCAACCACATCTGTGACTCTGCTCTGCCTTCCTTCCACCTCTCTCATCGTCATCGTTGTCCCACACACGGCACTCTTCACTATCATTTTTCCTGACAAGCACAGTGCTATCCGTTATCGTGCTCACCAGTTTTTTCACAGTCTTTCTAGTTTTGTTGATTCCTGATCGCAAAAGGGAGAACAGGAGGGTAGCGATAGGTCAAGCTCCCCAGCCCTTTCTCAGCCCCCCCTCCCATCACACTCTCATGTCCACGTTCATTGTTGGCAGGAGACTCCTCACATTGTCGTCCTTGTGCAAAGCCCAGCGCTGTTCAGCAAAGCCTCACGATTGTCGTCCTTGGCAGGAGACTCCTCAGCACTGTTCCAGCGCTTAAAATTGAAACAATACAGACAAGATTAGCATGGCCCAGGTGCACCCCCAGTCCCCCCAGTCCTACCACTGTGTCTACCACTTGGGACCATCACCCTTGTACCACCTTTGCAGGGTGACCTGACCTGACCTGACAGCGGTCGCAGGCACCAGGACTGACCTGGGTTGAAACCATGCTCGAATGAGCCCTGTCGTACGGGTGCTTCGGGCGCTATGCGTAAGTGTTCTTTCTACAGGCCGTATGGGTAAACCCTTAACCCGCCCCCCCCCCTTCAAAAAAAAAACTTACTTGGACTCCCCACTGTATCAATCTAGTCATGGACACCCTACATATCGCAGACAATGTCTAATGGCCCCTCCCAGCCAAGGTCTAACCTATGGTATCCCTTGAGCAACCTGGGTGTACCCACCCTGCACAGCTGTTA